CTGGCAGCTTGATGGGAAACAACAATGACACAGCGTATAATGAAAATAATGCTGACACCGGCACCAACAATTCTGATGTGAGCCATCTAGAGACATGTAATGAGAATGAAACCAACATTACAGGTAGTATTATAGCACAATGTGTAGACTGCGCCATTGTTGCAGATGTTGATGTACTCATTGACACACCTGCTAATATGGCAGGGTGTATGGAAGACGAGGCTGGTGATAAGAGTAAGGCGTCACAGATATTGAATGATTTTATGGGCAACACACTACAAAATCTATCGTTTTTGGGTCTAAGTATAGAAAATCTTGGCGAGAAAATGAAAGTCTTTGGAAACAACCTTATTGCCAGCTATAATCAGCGGATTAGTTCGTTAAATGAGGCAAAAAGAGGGGCTGAAGATAAAGCCAATCAGGTTGTACTACAGAAGAGCAGAGAATTCGATGAACTGCAGTGCTTAACCAAAAATCTTTGCGGTTCTATTTTAAACCAGCAGTACAATTTAATATCTAATGCGATAGCAAGTTTGCCACTATCTAGTATTTCCAGCACACTTGGCAGCCTGAGTCTTTCGCTAGACCTGCACATTGATCGAAACCTCCATATGATCAATGAAAGGGATAGTATTATTCAAGACAAAAAAAGAGAAGTAGATAACATGGCAGGCGAAATGGAAATTCTTAAGACAAAAACAAGAATGTTAGAGGAAAGTGGCGATTATCTCCACAAACAAAATGGTAGATTGAAGGAATCCAATAGTCTTTATTTTGTGGCAATCAATGTAATTTCAGCTATTTGTAGTAATCTAAAGAAGTCCACCGAGGATCTTTCTGCTTTTCAAAATGAGTTTTATAGCTCCTTTACTTCTCTCCATGCTATGCTTACCGAGCAGTCTAGCTTCTTAAGATATGAGCTAAGTAAAATTAGTGAAAAATTAAATTTTCTCAACGAATCATTATCAAAGTTGAATGTCTCTAAAATAAAAGATTACACCCTCGATTGCATTGGAGAGATTCAAAATCAATATAGCGCGGAAATTGGTCATCTCACATCAATTAATCGGGAGCTGATTGATCAAGTATCTGCTCTTAGATCTGATATTTCCGAACTGCAAGCAAAAAACGACGCCTTGCTTCTGACGAACAATGAAATCAAGGAGGAAGTTGAGTTGAAAGAATCCTACTCCAAGGAATTGGAAAAGTCGACAGATGAGTTAATGAAGTCTAACAAGTTCTATGAAGACCAGCTGATTACATCAGACAATATTATTAAGTCTCTCAAAGAATCAAAGATGAGAACTAGCTTGGAGTTTTCAGCTGAGATTGAAAAGATCAGGAAAGTGTACCTGAAAGAGAATGGACTGTTGAAGCTACGCGTTGAAGAGTTAGAAAACGAACTTTTTCTGAGAAGCAAGCATAGTGCCAAAGATGATTGAAACATTAAAATTATTGATTAAACATGCCTTGTCTCACGTTTAGTCCCAAAAGACGATAATATATTAATATAATTAATAAAAGTATAATGCAGCGGGCACGTAGAAGCTTTTAATTACAGGTAGATGCAATCAAAATTCGTATACTTCTTCAGCACCTCCGGCACGGAAATCCTGTCTTCCTCCTGATAGTTCTCAACAATACAACAAAGGCTCCTTTGAATAGCACAGAGTGTTGCATTCAACATGTGAACGTAGCTTTGTCTTTCATTTTCTTTTGTAAAACCATACCCAACATTAAGGTTTCTTGACTGATAATCTGTGCAATTTGAAGCAGAAACAAGTTCGCGGAATTTCTGAGAGTTGGGAAACCAGGCCTCAAGATCGTACTTCTTGGCCGCTGCATCATTCATCTCCCCGGATGAGATCAGCACTATCTGATAGCTCAGTCCAAGGCTTTGATAAAACTCTTCACATTGCTTAACAAGGTTTTCGTGAATCTGCTTCGATTCTTCGGGACTGCAAATGACAAACTGCTCAATCTTCTCAAATTGATGCACACGGAAAATACCTGCGTTGTCCTTTCCGTATGCACCTGCTTCTTTCCGGAAGCAAAGTGAGTCTCCAGCAAACATTTTTGGAAGGTCACTTTCTGTTAATTTCTTGTTTATAAACAAGGCTGTAAGGGGCTGCTCTGATGTAGCAATCAAATATAGATCTTCCTCAACTTTGTATAGTTGGTCATCAAAATCGCTCAACTGCGATGTTAATGCCATAACATCTTTTCTCATCATTACAGGCGGCTGGATGAACTCATATCCCTTTGAAACCAGAAAATCAATGGCATAGTTCTTGAGGGCTCTGGCCAGTAATGCCATTTTACCTTGCAAAAAGTATCCTCTGTGCCCAAACACTTCAGCGCCAGCCTCTGGGTTTGTATAGCACTTCATAAGTTCGGCATAGCTTTTGGGGCTCTCAGGTATCTTTCTAAATCCAGTATGTGTCCTAACAACAACATTCCCATCATCTGTCTTACAAATCGGAACCGACTCTTCCAGAATATTTCCAATACCAAACACAAGTTTGTCTATCTCGCTCTTCAGGTTCGTAGCACAGCCCTTCAGCTGGTCTCTTCTATTTTCTGGCTCGATTTTCATTGCTTTTAGTTTTTCAACTAGTGCCTCATCTTTCTTTCCAGACTTGTATGCTTCCTTTATTTGGTTTTGAATGCTGTTGATCTCAGTATTTATCTTATCAAGCTGGTAGTTTACTTTTATTCTCTCCTGATCCTTGCTGTATATTTCGTCAACAA